CTAAATCTATTCTGTCTGTGATCTACAAATGTAACAACAAAGCCTAGATGACAGCCGTCTGTTTACAGCATGATTTAATGAATTCTTTAAGCTCACATTTGAGACCTACTGTTTAGAAAAAAAAAAAGAGATTCTTTACAAAATACATTTCTCATCGACAATTCACGTAGTCATCCAAGGACTGTCCTGAAGATGTACAAGGAGACAAATGTTTTCATGCCTACTAACACAACATCAATTCTGCATCCCATGGGTCAGTTTCAACTTCCAATTCTTATTTTTTAAAAAGTACATTTTGTAAGTCTATAGCTGCCATAGATAGTGATTCCTCTGATAGATCTAGGCAAAGTAAACTGAAAACCTTTGGGGAAGAGACTTTCATGATTCACAGGAAGAGATCAAAATATAAACATTAACAGAAGTTCAACGTAAGTCGATGTCAACCCTCATGGATAACCTCGAGAGGTTCAGAACTTTAGTGGAGGAAGTCACATCAGATGTGATAGAAGGAGCAAGAGAACTAGAATTAGAAGTACAACCTGAAAACACGATTCAATTGCTGCAATTTTATGATAAAACTTGAATGGACTAAGAGTTGCTTCTTATCGATGAGCAAAGAAAGTAGTTTTTTGGGATGGAATCTACTCCTGGTGAAGATGCTGAGAACATTGTTGAACTAACAATGAAGGAGTTGAAATATTTCATAAACATATTTGATGAAGATATTTGTGAGGGTTGACTCCAATTTTGAAAGAAGTTTCAGTGTGGGTAAAATACTATCAAACAGCATCACATGCTACAGAGAAATCTTTTTGAAAAAAATAGTACATTGATGTGGCAAACTTGATTGTTGTCTTATTTTCAATTGCCACAACCATTTGGCCTTCAGGAACCACAACTGTGATTGGTCAGCAGCCATCAACATCAAGGCAAGACCCTATGCCAGCAAAAAGATTATGACTGGATGAATGCTAAGATCATCATTAGCATTGCTTAGCAATAAAGTATATTTTCATTGTCATTTTAGAAATAATGCTCTTATATACTTAATATACTATAGTATAGGATAAACATAACTTTTATGTGTACTGGGAAACCAAAAAGTTTGCATGAGTTGCTTTATTGTGAAATTTACTTTATTGAGATTGTCTAAAACCAAGCCTGGAGTATTTCCAAGATATGACAGCATTATAGCCATGGAATGAGTTAATGTATGCAATTTTGGGAAGAGGAACTGACTTCTCTAAAGTATTGGTTGTTACTCCTATTCTTCGGCTTCTTCAGAAAATTGATTCAGAGATAAACAGAATGGTCAAAGTTGAAGCCTAAGTATAACTGGGTAAATTTTTAATGAATTAAAAGCCTATGGAATCAATGATTATTAAATAGTGTTCTACATTTACTTTTAGAGATCTCTATGAAAATAAAAATAAAAAAAGAAGTCAGTGCCCTCTGACAACTTGATGTATAATACCAGGCTTGTACTATTAGCATAAGAAAACATATTAAAGATCTTGTTAAGTGCAACATGTAGTAAATCTGCACAAAATCGTATATAGATTGTCGGAGAGGCTCTCCTCCCTTGGTTTCTCTGGCAGTACCAGAGCATATTAACTGTAAAGAGAAGGGTCGTTGTCTTCTTTTTTTTTCTTTTTTTCCAGACAGAGTCTCACTCCCTACAACCTATACCTCCCGGGTTCAAGCAATTCTCCTGCCTCAGCCTCCCAAGTACCTGGGATTGCAGGTACCTACCACCACGCCCAGCTAATGTTTGTATTTTTAGTAGAGAAGGGGTTTCACCATGTTGGGCAGGCTGGTCTCAAACTCCTGACCTCATGATCCACCTGCCTCGACCTCCCAAAATGCTGGGATTACAGGTGTGAGCCACCGCTCCTGGCTGAGAGCAGGGTCTTCTAACCCCTCTAAGACTATTGTGTCTGGTGGTACCCAGCCCTGATATAATACACTGACAATTCCTAAATGGGTTCTTTACTCCAGGGTTTAATAATGACTAAATGACTTAAGCATTTACTGGGAATGGTAGTAGTTACAACCAAACTCTGCAACAGGAATTATTGATGTTTATAGTACACATATAAATAATAAATGATTGAAGATCCATACTAAGTATGATTAGCTAAAATCGTGAACCTCAAAGCCAAGCCATCCTGGATTCAGAACTGGCTTCCATCCACTACCAAATGTAAGCTTGGGCAATTTACATAGCATCTCTACTAACCCTGTTTACTATGGCATAAAATAACAATACTGATAGTACCAACATCAGTCACTAAGTTATGTATTTAATGAATGTTTATTTAGTAGCTACTATGTGTCAGCTACTATTGGGGTGGAGTATACAGCAAACAATACAGACATAAATCCCTGCTCTTTGGAGCTTTCATTTCACTTGTGAGAACTAAGCATTTAATACCAGGTATGGGGCACATTAAATTTTCAAACAGTGTTAAATATCATTACCGTTAGTTAATGATGACGACGATGATGATAGATACGTGGCATTATGGAGTTGAGAATAACACAACTTCTGTATGTGGGAAAGTATTTCTGGTCCATGGCCCTTTAACTGTGCTTCCCTCCCACGGGAGTGATTTGAACTGAGATCTGGAATACTTCACTGGGGGTCTTTATCACTATGTCCCAGTATTTGCTGATGCACTTAGTCCATGAGTAATTCAAAATCATGTATTTGTTAATGTGTTATTATGAAAGCACTAAATTCCTTTCTAGATGTACTGAAAATATTTCTGTTCAGCTAAAGAGCATTTTATGGCTGGCTGAAATGTGTGTAGAATTATCCACAAAAGTCATTTACAGACTTTATATATGTATGTATGTATGTGTATATATATATATATACACACACACACATACATATATAAAGTCTGTAAATGACTTTATATATATATGTGTGTATATATATATATGTATATATATAAAAGTCTATATGACTATATATGTATCTGTAAATGACATATATGTATATATACACACGTGTGTGTATGTATGTATCTATGCCAATGTTAGGAAAGGAATACATGGGCAGAGAAATCAGAGTGTGATTAGGAGGATCAATCCATGTGGAATGGGAGTAAAAGTTGTTTAAGGTATCACAGAGGAGGCCACATAGTGGAGGGGATGAGAAGTGTTAGAAAAAAGTACTTACAAAACTGATTAGCCATCAGTGGGTTTGTATTTATATGTTTCCTTAACTTCTACAAATAGCTCCTCTCACAAAAGTCATTTTGGAAACTTATCTTTCAAAGTTCGTAAAAACATCAATGATTTTAGTTATCTTCACTTAAAGAGGGTAATTTATCATCTGGTCAAGTGTGCGTGTGTCTGCCAGGAAAGCTGTGAGCCAACATACATCATACTCAGTAGCTTCAAGGATTTGGTTTGCCTTCTTGAGTGCATTTGAATACAGAATTCATTTTAATCTGACATTTTTTACCTCTCATCATATTTTTCTTCTAATTAAGTTCTATAAATGTATCTTCTATCCGGTTGGAGCTGTAATAAATTCTTTACTTGAATTGGCCTTCTGAAAGTCACAAACCAACATTATGATGAATTGCAAAATGAATAATTTCCTTTCCACTGTGTTTATTTTGAGCAGCAAAATGCTGGAGAAAAATGAAACAATGTTTCACTAGAAAGAAGGCCAGGCCTATAGTGGCTACATGGCTTTGACCTGAATGCTGCTAATGCTGAAGCCAGTAGATTCCCAAAATCATGTAGGTCTAATTTGAAAATAATTTTTCAGTTATAATTTTTGAGTTTAATGGCATTAATGTAAGGTATAAATAATGAGAAATGTTTTACTCTCCTATAAGCCTGGAGTTAGCCATGTTGGTATGGACTAGAGCCATGATTTCTTTGGGAAATGTATTTCTTAAAATCCATATTGCAGAAGAAAAGACTAAGGCCATTTATAGAATAGACTAAGGGAAAAATGAACATGTGATTACTATTTTTTAAATCATCATATGTCTTACCGCTCCACATAGGCAAGTAAGTGTATTATGTCTTTGAGTTTAGATGGCTAGATTGAGAAACTGAACAATTTGTCACTAATATTTAGGTTGGAATTTTAATAGGTGCTTAACATTGGACACATCTGTTCCTATTACATTGTAAGGCATAGATGAAACTTTATATAAATAAGATTAAAGCATTACCATAGATAAAATATCAAGCATTAACCTTGTAGACTTTTGATTTTAAAATAGTTTAGCTCCAGTATTAAAATAGCCACAGTGATCAGAGTCTGGTTCAAATAATAGTGCTTAATGTGTTAATCATTAATCTTACATACTTCTTTCTCATTTCACCTCTATTCCTTTATAGAATGGGAATTGCCTTATCCATCTTGAATTCATTACTGTAATTTGTGTACTGTGAGTTGACTGAAGCCAATTTAAGTGGTATATTAGGATAGAATTTTAGTTCCTTCACTTTGTGTAGATAGTGGGCCATGACGTTAATGTTTCATTTATAGTATTTATTACAGAACTATGATAATGTGGTTATGATTCATGACCTTTTCCTGCATAATGGCTGATTTAAGACATACTGTAGTTTGAAAGAAATGTTGAGGCTCTATAACAACCATGACCACTGGTCCAAATATCCCAACATAAAAATACCATAGGCATAAGTTTTCTTCCCTGAAAGAAAAACCAGAATTACTCTTTTCAAACCAGAATTAGACATGCACAGTCACCTAAACCAACCACTTTATCTTGCAAATGAGGAATCTGAGATCCAGTGAAGCTGATTAGATTGATGGAGATCAGAAAACTATTAGTGTTAGAGCTTTAGCCAAGATGTAGAACGTGCTTCCTCTTATTTTTGGGCCAGTAATCAGAACTATCCTACCTTGCTAAAATTGGATAATCACTGCCATTTCATTCATCCACATTCTGAAAACATTTGCTATTATCTCCCCATAACTCTTCTTCTTTTTCCTTGTGCAGTGTCTCCGTGCACCCCCACAAAGACATCCTAGTCTCCTGTGGTGAAGACAGACTCTGGAAGGTGTTGGACATTCCAAAAGCCAACGTGCTTCTCACAGGAGTTGGCCACACTGACTGGCTTTCAGACTGCTGCTTCCATCCCAGGTCAGTGCACAGGAGCCCTAGAAATAGCCTAATCTCTCCAGGAAATTGCTTGTTTTCTCTCTTTCCTCACTCTGCCATCTTTGATGATGTTTTTCTTTCTGCAACAACACACCCTCCACTGAATTTTGAAGTGTATAGATAAATGCCCCTTGGGTTTTCATTATATTGACTTGATTGTTTTTGATATTTGGTACATGTAAAACTTAATCCACATGCTTATGCTTTTAACCAGAGTAATAAGCTTCTCAGTAAAAGCAGTATTAGCATTCCCTGTGCTCACAAACCCTGACAAGGCACAGAGATTTCTAGTCAATAATGTATGCCAGAATTTACCTTAGTTAATCTTTGAAGTTTTCCTTTTAGAACTAAGTTATGTGCCAAAAAGGATCAGAGAACAATGATCATTTTTTAAAAAAATTCAGTGACATTCAAGATATTAAAAAGAACAAAGCAATTCTAAAAACACTGGGGCCAGTAATTTTTGAAATTCACTGAATTTTTGTACCTGAAAGCTCAAGGGCACAGAAGAGAGGACATTCTGAAAGACACACACAGATACATTGCTGTGGCAGATGGAATGCTCTGTCCACAGTTCCTTGTGGCCCATTCCTGCCACCAATCCTGTTTTTTGCTCATCATTCTTCTTGGATCTGCCACTTTCTAAAATTCTCTGGTCTGATTACTTTTGGTAATCCATAGTTCTTGGTGCTTTTCTAAACCATTCTACTTGGAAATTTTGTTCTTGGGAAGATTTCTTATTGATTTGTTTTCATATTTTCACTAAACTCCTTTTTAAAACCATTTTTCTTTTATCTTTGCTATGAATGCCTATAAAATTAGAAAATTTTTGTTTAAATTTAGAAATTTGTAAGTTAATGACGAGTAAACTAAGTTTGTTTTAAATTTTAACTTTTCAAAAATCTTTCCAAAGTATAATTTATCTTCAGTACTAGATGTCTGACCCTAATTTGTGAATATGCAGTGTATTCCATATCCAGTATATAAATTAAACAGAGCCTTGCCACCCTCTCACCTCTTAGGAACATAAAACCCATCTCGCAAGTAGAGACAACACAATTAGAACTATAGCCTATCGCTTATGTAGCTACTGGGCATAGTAATCAGATTTTGATAATGCCCTGTTACCATGACAGCCAGTGACTCAGAGATTTTCTCATTAGTGTTTGACCAGCAATGGTCCTTTTAATAGATCTTGCTGTTTTCTCATTTAATTACTGAAATTAATATGAGATGAGATATTTCATTATTAACTCATAAGATGAATTTACATTTAGCACTTTCTTATGGCAGAATTATAGTAAAATGCTGCTATACTGTTTGCTTTTTTCCAGTGCATGAGACAAATGTAAGAAGAGAAAATAAATATAACCATAAGTGTTTTTAAATGAGAGAGATTTAATAGCAAGTGTTCTTTTTGTAGAATTAATAAGAAAAATGATTATTAGAAACAGAAGAAAGGCTATATTTTGGTTTCTTTGGGGTGAGATACATTCTGAAAGAGTTTATATCTTAGACCACAAATATTTTACAATCCTTAATGCATGCAAATCAATACTGATTAAAATATAAATATGAAAAAATATACCTGCACATATAGATAGTGTTGATGTATTAAAACTTGTTGAAATTTGTGTTTCCTGGAACTTAAATTTGTAATACTTGATTTTTGCCTTGGCTTATATAATTTGGTCAGTAAGAAAAAATAGTTCATTGTTTAAGATAATATATATCCTCTCTCATGATATACTTCATCTATAATTTAAAATCAAACCTAATGTAAGTTTGATTTAAATATGATACTTTAATCAGTAGTTGAATCTTTAATGAATACAATTGTAGTCTTCGGAGTCCACCTCTGGGCTGTGGTTGATCTTGCTTTCTCGGAAGAGGCCTAGGGTGGACACAGTATATACTAACATTTACTTTCCTCCAGTGCTCTTCATACAAGAAATGTAAACTTTTTATTTTTTTCTTTTCTTTGCTTTTAACATTTCCTTTATTTTTCATTTTATCTGCTTCTATTTGAATGTTTTCTCTAACTTCCAGCTGGCTGCATTCCTGACTACAATGCCAGCTGATGCTGTCAGACACTGTCTTTTCTGCAGTGATGACATTTCCAGATTTTGTTTGGGGGGGTCACTTATTCCTGACATGATTGTGGTTCACCTTGACTGACCCAAATCAATCTTCTTTGCCCTATTTCTCTTGTCACAGCAGACATCTGAAGTGCCTAAATAATAAATACAACAGGCATAGAATACTCACATCAGGCAAAAGAAGATTGACAGGTTAAAAAAATAAACTGAGGGAATAACTAACTCTAGAGAATCCAGCTAATATGATGTCAAAATATATAAAACAAAAAATCTCATGAAACAACGTGATAGTAAAAAAATATAATCATCAGAATCAAAGACTTTAAGGTATCTCTCTCAACTTTTACTCTATCAAGTAAACAAAATTATAGTGGAATTAGAAGAGTTAATATGATATTAAGTATAATTAACAGTATATATTTAACTCTGTACAAGGAGACAATATAAATTTTTTGAGATCATTTATGGTTTAATTTTCAAAAAGGCATAAATTGTTTACCCAAAATCTAGCATAAATTCCTCATAGTATAAGTGATATAAACCATAATTTATGACCAAGATTCAATGATAAAAGGAAGTAATATGAAATTAATAACCAATAATGAGATGAGTCATAAATTATTAAGATATATATAAATGAATAGAGTCAAAGAGTAACTATAAACTTTCATTATATAGTTGGTAAAAAGTTACAACTACACTTACCAAATTTATGAGATGTATCCAAAGCTGTATTCATAGTAAAATTCATAGCTTTAAATTTTTTATTATTAAATAAGAAAAAAAGAAAATAAATGAAGTATGAATTCAAATTTTTAAAAAAATGAAATACAAAAAGCAAAAGAATAAATCAAAGAAAATTAGAAATAAATTAGACTAGAAAGAGGAGGCATATTTATGTATGTATGTTATATATCTATGAAAACTTCTGAACTTATATATAAATACGTATATATAAATTATATATGTATATACATATAAATAATATACATCTGTACATGCACATATATATGTAAATTCAGAAGTTTTCTGTCCTCAAGGGGAAAAATAATGAAGGAGCTACAATACATTAGATATCCTGGAAAACTACTGAAAATATATTAAGTGAGGAAACAGTAACATAAACCTTAGCAACTTAGGAGTTAGTAACATATATACAGAACTAGAATATATATAAACTTAAATTTTTTATGAAATAATCTGTATGAAAGTAAACATTATTGATACTAAATTAATATGGAAGAAAAACCTGGACTAGATTGAAAACAGTGAAGAAACTGAGTTTTAAAGTTTTACCTTGCATGCCCATCTTTAGCAGTTTTATCAATGACTTTTTAGAAACTTACCAAAAAAAGAAAGAAAGAAAAAAGAATTATAATAAAACAAGTAATTTTTAGGTTCATTACCTATCACAGGAACAGAAAAAATCAAAGGGAAATTCACTAACTGGTTTTAAAAATAAAGCAAAAATGTAATTTTTAACCTAACAGATGTAGTACTCACACGGTAACCAGAGACCCACTTCCCAATTATGAATGCAAAAATTTTAAAAATAATGTTGACAATGAAATTCAGTTGTATGTTTAAAAAGAGCAATATGCCATGACCAAGTAAGATTTGTACTTGGAAATCATGATATACATAAATGATCCAACTATGGGGACATCATATAATCAATTATGCTAATAGATATGGAAAGTTACTTTAAAAAGTGGCATAAATCTAGCAACTATCCCTGTTAATACACATATGTTTGCATACGTTAATAGATTCCATGTGTTGGAATTGATTAGGGGAATGGGTTTTGAAACAGCTCAAAGCTATTAATAAGATCTGCAGGTGAATGTCAAACCTAGATGCCATGAAGTTTAATGAGTAAAAAGAGGAATGGTGCTTACAGGAAATAGCTCAAAGAGGGGAACATAAAACCAGATAGGTAAAAATGTAGATAATGCCCACAATCAAAACAGAAGCAAGAGTCCAAGCTAACATTTGTCCATGGAAGCTTCATTATTTCTCCAGTTGGTGTTTACTCTCTTTAAATGTTGTCTACATATTTTCTTTTTTATCCTTTATAATAATGATTTCTTTTTGTTGCAACACTAACACCATCTAACATATCTATAACTGAAGTAATTTATAGATTCAATGCTATCCCCATCAAGCTACCAATGACCTTCTGCACAGAACTGGAAAAAAACACTTCAAACTTCATATGGAACTAAAAGAGAGCCCACATAGCCAAGACAATCCTAAGCAAAAAGAACAAAACTGGAGGCATCATGCTGCCTGACTTCAAACTATACTATACTACAAGGCCACAGGAAGCAAAACAGAATTGTACACGTAGACACGGAGGGGAACATCATACATTGCAGTCAGTTGTGGGGGATAGGGGAAGGACAGAAAAGGGTGAGGAGCGTGGGGAGGGATAATGAGGGGAGAAATACCAGATGTAGGTGATGGGGGGATGAAGGCAGCAAACCACCTTGCCATGTATATACCTATGCAACAGTCTTGCATGATCTGCATATGTACCCTAGAACCTAAAGTACAATTAAAAAAAGAAATGTATGTGGAAATCTTTTAAGTTTTATGTAAATATAATGCAGACTCTGTACAAACAGAAGGCATTAAAAAACTCGTATTGCAAGTCTTCAAAATATGACATTACTTCAAAATAATACTATACACATAACTCATTATTTCCCTCTACTATTTACAGTGGAATTGGTCCTGTTTGTATCTGAGTTTTTAATTTCCTCAGTAGGGCTTGTTTGTCCAGTTTTTTTTTTTAGGAAGCACTTGGATAACATTCATCACTGTGTAACCCATCATTATTACATATTTACCACTAGATGGAGGTTATACATTGGTAAGGTA